TTAATTTGATATAGGGGTTTAGGTATCTACAGCTTAAACTGCACGCGCTACATCGCTTGCGCGCGAGACACCCCTGAAGGTATACTGTAACCTTAAGAGTTTGAAAAAAGAATAAAAATGTATAGGAGGGTTCCTGCCAATTGGAATCATCCACCTCTTTCATGTTCTCTTTACAGCAGCGAAACAAGAATTCATTTAATGTATAGCTGTATGAAGTTTCTTTTAAAAAGTGCATGTACATGTTGCATTTACAAGATTCTTTGCCTTTGAAGACTCTGTCCAAACTACACTGAAGGGATTTAAAAGCGGAGGTTTCACTCTGAAAACATATCAAATGTTTTCCGTCCACACTACGCCGAAGGAATTTAAAAATGCAAATCACCAGTCATTTTGGATCTGTGTTTGAGGAAATCACATGATTATCATGACACCATCATTTTCAAAAAGCTACGTTTTCAAAATGTTTTCCATCCACACAAAAATAAAAAGCCAGCATTTTCAACTTCCTCAGGTTTGAAGAACATTTTCAAAAGCTCCATTTTCATGACAGATTAGCGTGGACAGTAGGCCTAACCGTAGAAAGCTGTATTTTCAAATTTCACCAACGTATAAGGGTGGACATTGCTTTATTTTCATTTGAGAATGACTTGTTTTCTTGTTTATTTTTTTCTTGTTTTTTTTTTTTTTTCACTGCTTTTTCACCTTGGTTAGTTGACCTTGTTGATTTTCTTTTGATCAAGTCCTACTTTGAAAAACAATCATGACATGAATGGGTAAATTGTTTGTGAAACGTGATCTTATTTCTTCCAATGAATAAAATTGCGCAGAACATTTTCAGTTTCCTTTGTATTTACCATGACAAGTCTATAGTCTAAAAATAAAACTGCCCTCCCTCTGGGTACTGTATGTCTGTATGTTGACAAAAGGAAGCAGTAATATTGAAAGGAAACAGTCCTTACAACTCAAAATAGTCTAGAATAATAACAAAACATCCAAAGTCCAACCAAATGAAAAGTGCATTGTGCACAAAAGCTGTGCATTATTTATGATGCTAAAAAGATAATTATACCCCACCCTTAAGAGCATTTCTACACCAAAATTTTGCTCCCTGAAAAACAGAGATATACTATGTTGCCACAATTATACTGTGACTAAAATACATACTTGAAAGTGTGTTTTAAGGATTGAAAACCAAACAAGTTTTATGCTTGATGATTTTATTTTTCCAAAAAATTAAAGATAAGGTAAGAGAATTAATAAGTAAGGAAATATGTAGATCTGTACTAATGAACCCAACCTTATAAACCACTTTCTTTTTTAAATGATGTACATGTAACCTTAATTGATTGAGAAAACCACAATTCTGGTAAGTTATATCTACCAAAACAGCAGCTTTTCACACATGCAATATAAAGAGTTCACGAAGCTGACTGACCTACCCAGCTTAACCTTAATGTTTTGTAAACAACAATTTCACCACTGTAAACTTTCACTACCGGTCTAACCCGAGAATCGATCGATAAAAGGCAAACGTCGCACGCAAACATCGCGCCTTGAAATTCTGAAGTACACTGGCCCTTGCAAGACACGAAACAACTTATAGCTACATTTGAATTAGTCTGTACTATGCTTCTGTTCTAGCATGCTTCAGCTTCAGTGATATAAGCTTGAACTTAGAGCTACGAACGACACATTCGAGCTGCACAAGGTGCTTACTTATTTTGGGCAATTTCATTCACGTTATTGGGAAATAAAGAAAAACGCTGGCAGAAATCAGATCTGTGCTAAACGAAAAATACTTAAGCCCTACTGCTTTGGATAAAATAATTAACATTAGACTGAAAGAAACTGCACAATTATAACAATTAACAATACACGAGCCCAAAATATAATTTTTTCATCTGGTCTAACTACAGTAGATACTTTTATTTGCACATTTGCCTTTGGTATAATTTTACAAGACTACATGCCGTCAAAGTTATCTTTTTTACGTTCAGCACAAGCTAAATAAATGGATAAGTTGAAACACAGTACACTCACCTGGAAGAATCAGCGAAAATTTGGTCAAATTCCTCTTTTTTCTGAACCTCTTCCAATGCCATGATCCGTCTTCTCTAAGTTTTTGCCATCCACGATCCAAATTATACGCAATGGGTCAGCAGTAGTGTAATAAAAGTCATGCGCGTTGCCCTTGCAAACGGAGGAGAAGAGACTGGAAATGATGCTATGGTTTGGCGGGAAAAACGATAGCGTGATCGCGCGATCACCTGATCGCGTGACTCAACCTCAGGTGACTTCAGGTGGTTTTGCCCGATCTCTGATTGGACAACATGAAGCGATACTGTGTTTTAGTATTCCAATTGTTTGCCGTCCTTCTTCGCTCTGTGAAAAAGGACCCACTTGTACTGTATTTCCGGCCTTGCCCTACAGTACATAGTAGTGTTTCGCTAAGGGGGAAGCTCCTGGATTTCAAAATTGCTTTACTTTACGAGTCTTTTACTTGTTCCAGTTTCATCAAGAAGCGGTGTACACGTCAGGACACATGTATATGTTATCTCAATCTCTTGTTATCGCCTTCGCTCAGAGCTACTTGGACAAATTCCATGACGGCATGGAATTGTCAGTAGGTTCTATGATCTCAATTACGGTCTAGTACTTTGTAGAAAGGTAAAGTCTAGCAAGAAAATTTAACTCCAGACCTCA